ACCTTCATTGCTGTTACTGCTTCTAGCCTTAGTCCCCTCTATATGGAGGTTAGCTTTTTGAGTCGTCTTCTCCATTCCAGTCTGTCTTGAACCAGTTCCTCAGATACTCCACAGCTAATCAAATCTTTTTGTATAACATCCATCCATATAGTTCTGGGTCTTCTGACCCTTCTCTTACCCTCCGCTTCCAAGTTTAATACCCTGTTTCCTCTATGTACTTCAGATGGTTTGAGCATGTGAAATGAAGATCAAAGCTGGAATTCCCTCAGCTTTTCTGTAATTGGTACCGCCTTCACACATCCCTCTGATTCGTTCGTTACAAACATGAGATTGACCTTTTCCATAGCTGTCATTATTTTAATTCTACCTCCATCAGGATGTCGCACCTTGATTATTTTGACTGATATTCCATTTGCTAATGGCACTGCTGGTCGTCCAAGCTGAATATCAGACTAAGTCATACTATGATATTTAGATATACCTCTCAATGGGAGGAGGAGTGTGGACATGCCCTGTCCCAAGCATATCCTCTGATTTTTTTCAGTCCACATGGGAACTGTGCAGGCTTGACCATCACTTAGAATAACATAGCCCTACTTCCCCAGTGCACATAGAGGAGGAGCAGCAGGGACTTGCCTCCCTTTTCCTGGGGATGCCCAATAGAAGCAGTTCCTTGCACTCCCCTAAGCACAGAGACTGCAATTGATTTCCCTCTTGCACAGAAGCGGGGAAAAGCTCTTTCCATATTCTTTCCACCCCCACCCAAGGGCCAGGGACAGGTTTAAATAATAGTTTGGGGGGTTTTAAACAAGAAATTGAAGTTTTAAATCTAGGTGTTTTAAATATTTACACATGGAGATTTTCTCAGTTCAATTGGTTTCTTGCAGTTGGGGAAAAATAAAGAAATCAGTCCATTAAGACTGTATTTGTAGTGAATAGTTGTCTGATCCAGATAAAGAAAGTATATTTTTTTTCCCCAGCCTATAATATAATTATCCAGGTTGGTGCTGTGAACTGATTTTTGAAGTGTCATTGATTAAAGAAAAGGGAAATGTGGCAGTAAAGGGTTGGCTATCATGAGAAAAATGTATCTTTGGGTATATTTGAAATGATAAAATTCATGGGGCTTTTAAACAGAAAAACCCCCATTGAACCCATTCTGTAACACCATATGTAAATTTTTCAGGTGTTGCTATAAGTAATGTTCTCTGTAGCTGTATTGCTGCTGCTGAAAGTTGAATCCATTTTTTTTTTTAATGGAAGTATATAAGAACATAATGTGCATACTGGGTCAGACTAGTGGTGCATCTAGACCAATATTCTGCCTTCTGACAACAGCCATTGCCAGATGCGTCAGAAGGAATGAGCAGAACAAGGCAGTCCTCAAGTAATCCATCCCCTGTCATCCAGTCCCAGCTTCTGGCAGTCAGAGGATTAGGGGGGACGAAGCATGGGATTGCATCAGACCATCTTGGTTTATAGCCATTGAGGGACCTATCCTCCATGAACTTATCTCCATTCTTTTTTTTACCCACTTATACTTTTGACCATCACAACATCCCCTGGCAATGAGCTGAACAGATTGACCATTTATTGTGTGAAGAAGTACTTCGTTATGTTAGTTTTAAATCTGCTGCCTGTTGTGTTGTTCACTTTCTCCATGCCATTCATGATTTTATAGACCTCTGTCATATCCCCACGTAGTTGTCTCTTTTTCTCTTTCCTGTCTTTTTTTTTTTTTTAAATTCTTTCCTCATATGGAAGTTGTTCTATACACTAATCATTTTCATTGCTTTTCTCTACACCTTTTCCAATTATAATATCTCTCTTTTGAGATGAGGTGACCACAACTAAACACAGTATTCAAAGTGTTGGCGTACCATGGATTTATATAGTGGCATTATATTTACTGTCTTATCTATCCCTTTACTAATGATTCCTAACATTGTTAGCTTTTTTGACTGCCACTGCACAGTGAGTAGATGTTTTCAGAGAACTATCCACAAAGACTGCAAGATCTTTCTTCATTAGTAACATCTAATTTAGATCTTGGCATTTTGGATGTATAGTTGAGATTGTTTTCCAATGTGCATTACTTTTCACTTATCAGCATTTAATTGTATCTACTATTTTGTTGCCAAGTCACCCAGTTTTGTGAGATCTCTTTGCAGTCAGCTTTGGACTTACCTATCTTGAGTAATTTTGTATCATCTGAAAACTTTGCCACCTCACCCTTAAACCTTTTTAAATAGATCACTTATGAATATGTTCAAAACATAGATCCCAGTACAGATTCTTGGACGACCCTGCTATTTGCCTCTCTCTCTATTGTGAAAATTGACGATTCCTACTCTTTGTGCCCTATCTTTTAACCAGTTATCTGTTCATGAGAAGACCTTGCCTCTTTATCCCAGGACTGCTTAGTTTGCTTAAGAACCTTTGGTATGGGACCTTGTCAAAGGCTTTCTGAAAGTTCAAGTACACTGTATCAACTGAATCACCATTGTCCACATGCTTGTTGACACCCTCAAAGAATTCACATAGATTGGTGAGCCATGATTTTCCTTTACAAAAGCTACATTGACTCTTCCCCAACATATCCGATACATAGCGTACATGATAATTCTGTTCTCTGTTGTAGTTTCAACCAGTTTGCCTGGTACTGAAGTTAGGCTTGCCAACCTGTAATTGCCAAGATTGCCTCTGGAGCCTTTTTTAAAAATCGGCATTACATTAGCTGTCCTCCAGTTGTCTGGTAAGCGATAAGTTACAAACCACAGTTAATAGTTCTGCAGTTTCATATTTGAGTACCTTCAGAACTCTTGGGTGAATATCATCTGGTCCTAGTGACTTACAGTAACTCCTCACTTAAAGTCGTCCCAGTTAACATTGTTTCGTTGCTGATCAATTAGAGAACATGGTCATTTAAAGTTGTGCAATGCTCCCTTATAATGTCGTTTGGCAGCCACCTGCTTTGTCCACCACTTGCAGAAAGAGCAGCCCATTGGAGCTAGCAGGTGGGGGCTTGGAACCAGGGTGGACTGGCAGCCCCGCGTCAGCTCCCCGCTCCCTTAAGTTCCCTGTGTGGCAGCCACCCAGCAGGCTAACAATTGCTGGGCAGTTCAGCTGTCCCTCCCCGCACTGTCGTGTGCTGGAGTTGCTCTCGGGAGCTTCCTGCTTGCTGTGAGGGTAGAGGGGTGCTAATGTCAGGGTATCCCCCTCCCCCCCGCTTACCCCATCTCCATAGAGCAGCAGGGAGACATGACAGGGCTCAAAATGAAGGGAGCTTGCTGGCAGCAGCTGCTGCCTCAACTTGCTGATCTACTTAAAAAGGCAATGTACTTAGAGTGGGATCAGCGTGCTTAAAGGGGCAATGCACATCTCTCACACACACACACACACACACACACACACACACATGGCTGTCTGCCATGCTGTCTCCCCTCCCTGCATTTGTGCTGCCTTGTAGAGTGTGAGGCTACATTAACAACAATGTGTTAACCCTTGAGGGCTCAGCCGAGTGCTAGATCATTTAGCTTTAAGGCATTCCCTGGGAAATATCCCACCCTCTGACTTCACCACCTCAACCAAGCTTCGCAATCATCATTGGTGTGTACAGTATTAAATTGTTTGTTTAAAACTTGTACTGTGTTATATATAATAGTCCTTTAATATAGTCTGAACCAGGGGAGGGTGATGGGGAAGGAGGAGGAGAAAGAAAGGGGTGCTCTCTTCTCTGTCCCATCAATTAAGCCATCCTATGCCTTACTTTCCCCTTTTTTCCATCCTGTTCTGAAGTAGCTGTCCTAGTTTCTCATTTTAAAAATCTGGTTGTTCTAGAAGTAACTGACTTCATTCACTAGTGCTGTCACATTGATATATTTTAGAATGAAAATTTTCAGCCTCCTTTCATTCTTTAGTTATGCATGGGCAATTAAGTCAGACCACTGTGGAAATATGTTAGGCATTTTTTCTTTACTTCCTTTGGACTACTTATGCTTATTTAAGCATATACTTAAGTGCTTTTCTAGATCAGGGCCACAGTGCTCAGGATCGAGCTTTGTGCCAGCAGCATCTCATTGCTATGCAGGTGTCTGGACTGATATGAAATCCATATAGCTGGACGCTTCTCTAAGATTTCACCATAATGTGCCTGTCTCACAAGTGTTCAGGGAAGGGGTTGTGACAGACGGGTTGAGAATTAAGGTTTGGGAAGACTTTTACTAAATATTCTGTTATAAGAGTAACTAAACCTAAACTGGTCTGGCTTTCAAGTTTGTTTTCTTTGTTTTGTTTTTAAAATAACCCTACAATAAACTTCTAATGAATTTTTTTTGTCCTCTAAGTTAGTGATACCGAATACCAACCTTAACCCCTATTTCAATCTATTTATATATGTGTAGAGAACTATTTCATTAAGATGCTTTTAAAATGTAAAATAATAGTGATGCTACTGTCTTGAAGCACAATAGTAATTTCATGAATGCTTTTCTTTGTAGCTTTTAATTGTCAACAGGAGTTGCGTATGAGTGATTGCTGTCAGTGGAGCTTGCTTGTGCATAACTGTCTTTTTGAAATGTGTGTATCTTATGGGAAGGCTTTGGAAGATAGCTCTAGGGTGTTTAAAGTTAGTCCTAATCAGTCAAAAAAATTGCTTTGCATGCCAATGTTAGCACATGTTAAGTTTTCTACTGCAAAATATTGTGCAACTCAGGAACAGATCTACTTTGTAAAGTTGTGTCATCATTTCAGGATGAATTACCACAGAGAGAAATATAGACCGTTTGTCCAATTCAAAATGTAGAACACAGATTTTTACTTTGAAAACACGCTATCTGGTTACAATAAAATGGCTGCTTCAATTTTTGAATTTTTTTTTGGTAATTTTTTAAAGTTTATATTCTGGATATCATAGTTGGTTGTATTATGTTTCAAAGAAAATGACTTGCACCCTTAAAGGAAAAATTAGGTGTACAAATGGATTTTTTTTTCTTTTGCAGGAAAGAACTAATATTATCTGGCACTTTAAGTCCAGTTAAGGATTTACATCTTGGAAAACTGGCATTAACGAAGTTTCCGAAGAGTCCAGAAACATGGATTCACAGGTTTCTTGTTTTTTTTCCTTCCCTTTCTTTCCCTCCCTCCTCCCCCCAAATAAATAAATATCTAATATATATATATATTTTCATACTTCTGTCTGTGTTTAAGGAGGGAAGGTATGGATGGAAACAGAGCAGATTTCCAAACCATCTACTGTAAAATTCATTGCTTTGGGGGGTTTTTTTGTTTGTTTTTTAAAGATTCTGATCAACTATATGTAGGACTTAATGTTCAAATCAGATATGTGTTTCTGCATGTTACATGTCTTTTTAATATAACTACAGTGGTGTGTAATTTTTCTTCATTTTGTATTCCCAGTGTGACTGCTTGAAAATTGCCATAAAATTAATGCTAGGTTTTCCATATTTTACTTTTATTATTATTTATTTATTTTGCCTTTAACCTGTTTATCTTGTAGATCTGCCAGAGAACCAGGATACGTTTAAAAAATTAAATTTTGTAATTGTAGCTAGGTGTTATCCCATTAGTGTACTATAATATTTTTCCTTATGACTATATTTTCCTCATCCATAGGATTATGCAGTGACAATGTCTCCCTTACTGAGCAATAACAAAGAAAAGGTATATTTTAAAAAGGCAACCCAATGCTTAATCAAATGTACCAAATCCCAAATGCCTCGGGATGGCTCCCACACTCCTGGCTGGTGAGTAGGGCTGGTGATGCCTGATGCTTGCAGGCATATGGTAGGGGAAGGCTGTAGTCCTGGCCCAGCAGAGCAGAGACCCTAGCCAGAGCTGTGAGAAGTTGTTGTCATCGTCCCTGGCTGTGTAGGAGCTCCCTCCACTGCTGAATGGCTCTGTCCCTGACCAGAAGCCATTCAGCAGTGATTGGCCTCCCCTGCAGCTGGGGACATTTCCTCCTCATGACACTACCCAAAGGTCTTTACTACAGCCCACCAGGACTCCAGCCTTCCCCATACCTTGTGCCTTCAGGGATCCAGTGTCACTGACCCTGTGACCATGCAGGGAGCTCTCTGCAGCTCTGTTGTCACAGCCCCATCCACTCACTCACTATCCAGGAGTGGCAGAACCATCCCCAGGCAGAAACTGTTCAGCAGTGGGGTGGACTTCTCTGTGACAAGGGGCTCATCCTCCTCCTTACAGTCCTGGCCAGGAGTCTCTGCGCCACTCGGGCCAGGACAACTGCAGCCTCCCCCACATGTTGTACCCTGATGTCTTGTGCTCCTCAGCCAGATAGAGAGACTCCTGCAGCCACTGTGTTTGTACTGCCCTATCCCCAACCCTACCCGCCACAGCTGTAAAAAATAAAAATCAATACGAATTGTCAAAATACCAAAAAAAAAAAAAAAATTGAATTCTGCAAAGCTTAGTTATACGCGTCCTTTCCTGCTATTTTGCTTTAATAGTGTTGGCATGGAACCAGAATTGAAGAATTTAATTGTAGTTACACTGGTTTTTAGCTTTCTAATCCTGCAACCTCTTTTCACCACCTCTACCTTTTTCACACTATTTGACTGCTTTGCTTTATGTAACTACATTATACAGAATGAAAAGGAAGGTAGATGTGATGGAGAGGAGAGAAATAAGTTGCAAGTGCCATGATTTAGCGATAGCTGCCTCAAACTCCTTCATACTCGTCAATACTGGACTATTCACTGTAATATATAATGTACCTGAAGTCATGTATGTCATTCTCGAACAGTGACATTCTTAAGAAATAAAGAAAAGTCAGGGTTCCTTCACACACATTTTTTGTCCTTCACATTTAGTGTTAAAAGTTCTTTACCTGGAAATAAAGAATCGGAAGTAATTTTATGCTTTATTCATGTTAAAGGAATGAATCTTTCATCATTTAATTTTCCTGCATAAACATATTTTTGTCTCTCATTTTGGGTCTTTGTCACTCACTATGTCCCGCTTTTTCATTTTGGCAGTTTGAGGTATTTGAGCAGCAAAAAAACATGTTTGAGTATCATAGGCTTTAGTTTAAAAAAAAAAAACAAAACAAAAAAACACCTTAGACATACGTCTTCAAAATTGCTGCATTTGTGACATGGATCCGCTCTTCTAAATGAAGTAGTCAAAGATTGTGGTTTGACCTGCTGCCCTCCTTTAGCTACAGTGAATGTCATATCAGAAGCAAACTTACAAATACAGGCGTGATCCAGTGTTCTTAATCTCCGATTAGAGATGCAGTCAACTTAAAAATCACACTTCCCTCTCAAAATTTTAGCTACTATTATTTTCTAAGTAACAGCCAAGGTTACTGGGAATGGTATTTATATATAGCTAGTTTTAATGTTTCTCCTATACAGTATTTGGTCAGCAAGTTTCCTCTGTTGTTGATGTGGGTCATGCACACCCTAATCAGGGGAAAAGAGACATTCTAAAAAAAAAAAAAAAAAAAGGGGAAGGGGGGGGAAGAGACTGTGGAGCAGATGGGAGTACCTGAAACCATTTTTGTTAAACAAGTTAGATTTCAAGTTGATGATGTCACTTAACGAGTTTTTATACAATTTTGTAATCTTATGAATAAGCTATTTTTGACTGGTTAATTTTTAAAGCTTTATTAAGGAAAGAGTTCACCTTTCTTCAAGCAGATGGAATGACATTGTGTTGGCTCACTTTCATTTCAAATACCAAAGTGGACAAAAGGGTGTAACTTTTTTGGTCTCGGTTGTTAAAACTTGTAAGTCCTGATCGAGAGGTCCACTCAGCTTTCCATAGAATCCCCTCTTGCAGCACTGTTTGTCTGTTTACATGGTGCTGTTGACCTTCCTATGTCTGCAATACCTTTTTTAATGAAAGATATTTGAAATAAATTTGATCAGAAAAATATACTTGTTAGCAGCTTTACTTTGACAAAAGGTTGTATAAGCCGTCAGTACATCTATTGCAGTTTTGAGGCAGTGACTTTCTTAAAGTGCAGTTCTACTCTAAAGTGCCTTTTACAAATAAAATACAATGTGGGAATCTGTTTGTCTCAGTGATTCCAGGTCAAATGTGACTAGTTTCCTAGTAAAAAGGTGTTTTTTCTAACTGCTAGACCAGCAATCTCTGCCTGGGACCTCAGAATTAAGCTGGTTTTCTTTTATTTATTCCTTCTATATCATCACTAGTAATAAAGGGTTCTGCAGGAGAAATTGAAGCCACATTGATGCCTGTGTACCTCTATTGCTTTCAATGAGTTTGCACAAGTGTAACTGGAAGTTAGTAAACAGTTCTGTTTATGATGCACAAGAAGAAATAGAATCCCATTCAATTGCTCTTTGCTGTACTGACTCTGCAGGGCTAACGAGTAAAAAGCAGTAAAGTCTTTTTTTCTTTTGTGACTAAAGTCAGCAGATTTGACTGAATCCACACACAGGGTGCAGATCTGTTGAGTAAGAAGGTATTTTTACATAATCCTTTTTCAACATAAAACCTCACTTTAACACTATGGATGTCTTGTGAAAAGTGAATTCTTCAAAATCTTCCATGATATTTTTGAATATTTTTAATATATATTTGGATATTTAAATATTCCATGATATTGTTTTGGCAAATTTTGTATATTCAGGCTTTTGGTAACTTTTTTTTTTTTTTATTGACTTCCTCAAATTCTCAACATTAGATAGGACCAATAACAGTAAATGAACAAAGAGAGCTGAAGTAGATACAGTAATGCCCCACTTAAGGTTGTAGTTATGTTCCTGAAAAATGCGACTTTATGCAAAACAATGTTAAGTGAATCCAATTTCCCCATAAGAATTAGTGTAAATGGGGGAGGGGGGACTAGGTTCCAGGGAATTTTTTTTTTGCCAGGCAAAAGACATTATATACATATACATTACAAGTTTTAAACAAACAGTTGAATATTGTACACAGCAATGAATGATTGTGAAGCTTGGTTGAGGTGGTGGAATAAGAGGGTGGAATATTTCCCAGGGAATTCCTTGCTGCTAAATGATGAACTAGCACTCTGCTGAGCCCTCAAGGATTAATACTCTGTTAATGTAGCCTCACACTCTACAAGGCAGCATGGACTGAGGCAGGAGGGAGGAAACACAATAGATGCAGGGCAGTAGCTGCAAACACTTCCCTGCAAAAACTGAACATGATGATGAACCCACTCCTTCCTCCTGACAGCACATGCACGGCTGCACAGGTGCTGACTTTCCAAAGTGTTGGGGAGTGCATGCATGAGAGAGGAAGAGGTACATTGCCCCTTTAAGTACGCTGACCCCACTTCAAGTACGTTGCCCTTTTAAGCAGATCAGACAGGAAGCAACAGCTTCCAGCAAGGTCCCTCTTTTCTGTCCCTGAGCCCTGTTCCCCTCCTCCGCTTTGTGGAGAGGGGGCACAGAGTGGGGGGGCAGGAGCAGGGGGACATCCTGATATCAGCACCCTCCTCCCCCAGCAAGCAGAAAGCTCCCAGGAGCAGCTCCAAGACAGAGGGCAAGGCAGGAGCAGCACGGCAGCGGGCGAGGGACAGCTGAACTGCTGCTGGGCAGCTGCCGAGCCACATACCTTACAGGGAATTTAGGGGAACTGATGGGGTGGGGGGGCTGCCAGCCCCCTCCCCCCCCCAGTTCTAATCCCCACAAGGAGGGGCTGCTCTTCCAGAGAATCCTGAAAACAGTGGACAGAGCAGGCAGCTGCCAACAACATTATAAGGGAGCATTGCGCAACTTTAAACGAGCTTGTTCCCTAATAGATCAGCAGCGTAACAATGAAACCACGTTCACTGGGACAACATTAAGTGAGGCGTTACTGTACTCTTAAATGTGTCTATTAACTGAAGACTTTCTCGATCTGAATAGCTCACAGGTTTTATGTTTAGTCTGTTTCTTCCCCCAACCTCCAGTTTATCCTGAATTAAGATGATGGAAAACTCCACGTACGTTGGTTAATTTATATAGTGAAATAAGGAACAAAACAAAATGTGTTTTTTCTCTTAAAACTGCTTTTGCATTGTTAACCCTCTACACCATTTAACCAGACGATGGGTGCTGCAACAACTAATTCAGGAAAACTCCTTGCCAACTCTTGTAACTAAAGGGAACTTGGGAACAGTGCCTATGGAAAGAATTCAACGATTAGTGCAGGAGGAAATGGATGTCTGCTGTGAAGCTGCTGGGAGATATCCAAGCAACTACAATGCCTGGTCCCACCGTATCTGGATTTTACAGCGTTTGGGAAAGCTGGATGTCAAGGTACAATACTGGAGTGTATAAACCCCTACGCAGAATTTGTACATTTTAAATCTGGATCATCATAAAGCAGTGTGCTGTGGGAGAGGTGAATAATCGTCTCAGTGGTGTTGAACTGATGTACACAATGCTTTAGGAGAATAAGCATTCCAGGGGCAAGGACTGTTATGTTGCTCTGTCAGACTCTTATCAATGTAACTAGCACCCATCTGTTGGTGCTTAACTGATTAGAGGGTAGATGGGAGTCTGGGAGATGAAGCAGAGGACTGAGCATAAATTCTGTGCTGGTATAATCTGTAAGAACCTATTAGAATAAAAGATACTATGCAACAGATGACATTCCAATACTCTAATATTCCCCTTTTTGTTTTACTACCAGTGTTCTTTCATGTCATTTTGTGATGTCAGAATGTGTGCATAGAGGACTAGTATAGGATAAAGAGACCAGGCAATTTAGAAACAGAAAAGTGGTGCTTATAAGCATTTTCATGAGATTCGAGGACACCCTTCATCCCAGTTTATGCTGAGTTTAATAAATCAGCATATACATCAAAGAGACAAAACTGACTAACTGGCCTTAAATATGCCTTATCAACTTCAGCAGTGATGTCTTGTGAAAATCTTTTAGTTGAACCTCAGGCATGTTCATATGGTTCATCCAAAAATGTCAAGGCCTACAGGAAGGGAAGTTGTTGACATGTGACATGATCTAAAATTAAAAGTGCAGTTTTCTAATTACTCTTACTCTGTGATTTCTCAGTTGTGAGGTGAGTTCAATGCCTTTATTATGCTGATGCTTTGACCTTCCATGGTAGCTGTTCCTGACTCTGCATTCTTTCACTACCATCACCTCGTCTGTATGGTGTTTTTTTTGTTTTTGTGTTTTGTTTTTTGAGAGGAGAGTGCTGACTATGTAGAACCACAAAATCTGTTCTGGGCCTATCACTGGCAATCTGGGAGGTCATTTTGCTTATACTTTTTTCATCTGAGAACACTTTTAGAGATCTGTACATATTCCATAATAACCTGAAAAGTGTGAGGTAGTCACAGTCCAGCAGCTTTCCCATCTAACTCTCAAATAAAAGGTGGGTGTGCAAAATTCAGAACTACGAAATTTGGGGGATTTATTCATCAGGAATTGAAGACTCTCAGACAAACCCTTGATGGCTGCATTTTTTGTCTTATATTTCAGTGCAATTAAGTGGAACACAACCATTCTCCCCTTTAATTGGCAGCAGCTGTTTAAAGGACAGGGCACCATCTCAAATGCTTTTGCAGCTGCTGTTCTCATAGCTGTAGACTATCAAAATAGGTAAAGCGAGAGGCTGCAGCTTGACACAAATAGCTCTCCTTGGATTTAGAATTTGTCTGGTGTTTTCATTTGTGTACAGCTATGTGAATTGCATTGAGCAATGGCAATTCACAAATAATTATGGCCGTGAAGGAAATGTAGATCACACACCAGCTTGTTTTTATTTTTTGTTTTAAATTTATGTTCTGAAACTCCCTCTTCCCTTTGCCTTCCATCCATCTTGGCAATCATCCCAGTTTCCCTACTGGTCTACTTTTAATCCTTTAGGAAAGATCTTTATGCTTATCCCAGAATCCTTTGTAACAATTGCTGATGCAGCACTTCAGAGGCATCATTGCCATGCTGCATTAGAGATGTCTGTGGGAATTAGGAGGGCTGTTAAACTTGGGGGACGGGGAGAACAAGGGAGGTTAGAAGTTTTAGGACATACCTATAATCTAGGGAATGTAAATACACAAAATTATAAAAAGGACATTTTCAGTTTGGTGTATTTGTGCATGAACACCCTGAAAAGAATTAATGGGAAAAAAAGACAAATGGAAAAAGGGAGACATGACACTTCCCCTTCTCTGCCCCCCCACCCCCCCTGAAAATATAAAGGACCATAATTTTGTAGGGTTTTTTCTAATTTTGTACCTTTTGATCAGTTGAATGTATGTAATTCACTGTGAATGCCGATTATAATATTTAAAGGTAAACCTGCCTGATTGTGACCAAAAATTAGGTAGCTAGAACTCTTCATGTTGTGTTTTTTACCCCACAATTACTAGCACCTGCAGTTTTGCATCCAAGTTGAGGCTCCTTTTAAAAATGTAGCCCAAAATTATTATTATTAACATTTACATACTGTAAACTGTCCTAGAAAGCTATTGGATTTTTTAATTATATTTTTTTCTAAATCTAGAACATTTTGAAGCTCATTCTAAAACACTTTATTCTTGGAAGGGTATAAAAAATCTCAGGGTAGAGTTTGGCCCTAAATTTAGGTGGTGTTACAAAATTATGACCAGAGCTTCAGTCTCCTTCACTTAAAGGTAAATATTGTCTTTCTTTGATCCTAAAAATTTCACTTTTTTTTTTAATTTAAAAAATAAGTGCTTAGTTTACCCATAACCGTACTACAGACTTTAAATATATTATCTGCTTGCAGAATTAAATCATTTTGTACGCATGACTCACAGTAAAAGTAACTCAAATGGCTTGATCCTACACAATATATGTGATTTAGGTTACGCGGGCTGGCTTTGTGGTGGATTGATTAGTCAGCTAAAAGGCCATTGTAATGGGGTGGAGTACCCTGCATGCAGGTCTTTCTCTTGCTGACTAATTTTTATCTGGTATTAGAATCATGAAATGCAGATTTCTTTTTGCCGGCTCTATCTGACATCTGGTCAAGTGAGATTTAGTAACTTCAACCTAGGATATAAAAGAGCTTGGCATATCTCTCTGGGGCATAGGGGACCAAGGATAGGGGAGTCCTGCAGGAAAAGGTTATCAGAATGACCAAACACAGGAGGAAAGCTGAGATTGGTGGTGGTGTTTATAGTAACAAAGGCAAATGTTAGGATGGGGATAAACTCACTTCATATCTGTTGTATCTATTCTCTGTTTGAAGCAGTATGGAAGCTCCACCTACTTGTCTTACCATGGAAGACAAAAAAGAGAAGCTCTCGCATCCGAGCTAGTCAATCAAGGAGCTGCAGATACCTTCTCACATTTTGTTAGCTGGGGAATAACTCATCTCTTGTGATGGATGGTAGAGGATGCATTGAACATTATACCCTTAAACACAATTGTCTTATTTGGTGATCAGACTAAACGTAGTCTTGGACTCTTGTAGATAATTGGATGGTAACAAAATAGATAGTTTAGCCTTCATCAGTGCTTGAGTTCTTCTGCCTCCAATTCCTTCTTAAATAGCAAGCATCTTCCACTGTTGTGGAGTCTGTTCTACAAGCAGTGGGTTTTCCAGGTACGTCTCAAGAGGCATGGGGAGCTTTTTTTTTTTTAATTCTTTCATTTTTAAAAAATAGTCTGATCATCTCATAAAATTAGTCAAATGCAATGTGCGCAGCACAGGCACAAATTACTTAAAAGGTTGGGTTTTCTTAAACAGTTCTTGAGGTTGCCATTGCTTTTAGCAAAAATCTTTAAAACTGCAGATAACATCTGCCAGAGAGAGGGAGGATGGTCTTGTGGTTTAAAGCATAGGTCTGGGAGTCAGGAGTTCTGGCTTCTATTCCTGACTCTGCCACAGATTTTCCTGTATGACTGTGGGCAAGTCATTTTAATCTGTGCTTGAATTTGCTGATCTGTAAAATGAGAATGTAAACTCTCTATACATCTGGCATGTAAATACCTTGCAATGCCGGCTACAACAGTGCCATTCTAATGCCTGTTCTCACTTTCAGGTGACTTTGTAAATAAACAAGCAAATATAAATGTAAACAAACTTGTTTGTCTATTGATAGGCTGAACCAGAAGTAGGACTGAATGGACTTGTAGGTGCTAAAGTTCTACAGTGTGTTGTTTTTGAGTCCAGTTATGTAAATAATTATACATTTGTAAGTTGCACTTTCATGATAGAGATTGCACTAAAGTACTTGTATGAGATGAATTGAAAAATACTATTTCTAATCTTTTTTTATATTGCAGTTATTTGTAATCAAATATAAAGTGAGCATTGTACACTTTATATTCTGTGTTGTAATTGAAATCAATATATTTGAAAATGTAGAAAAACATCCAAAAATATACCCAATATGAATTGATATTTTATTATTTAAGTACAATTAAAACTGATTAATCGCACCTATTTTTTTAAACTAGTTACATTTGCTTTGCGTTAATCACTTGTGTTAACTGCAATTAATTGACAGCCCTAATTATTTGGTTTCTATCACAATCTATAGTCTAGTATTTAGAACATTATTTTACTGGCTGAAATTCTTTCCAGGGAAAAAGATGTTATTCAATCCCTTTTTAGAAGTGTTTGTATCACTCAATGAGTAGCTCCGTAAATCAAATACATTCCACCATCATCTTCCTATACAGCGTGGTTTGCTTTTTTTTTAAAAAGTAGCTCTCACTGTAAATCATCAATAGCCATCGATCTGTAAACATTCAAATGATGTCTTTTCCTTTTAGTGGAACAGTGCACTTCCCATATTTTGGCCCTCAAGTCTTTTTACCATATTATGAAAGACCTTGGAAGTAACTCCTTTGTTGAAATGGCAGGAGGCTTTCCATTGCAAATCTTCTTCTTTTTAAGATCTGCAAGTGAGCATATCTCCCATCTGTTTCGGACTGTTACTCCCCTGAGTAAGGGGTGACGAGAGACCAGCCTCCGCTCAGGAGTCTAAATTTTCATTACTCAAATCCTGCACCTGATGGTCTCCCTCCCATTGAATATCAGTGGATTTCCTCTGATCCCAATCCAGCCACAGTATCTCAGATGTTCTCTGGTAGTGTGTTACTACAGACTGATTGTATCCTGAATTAAATAGTATTCCTGTTGGTTCTAAATTTACTGGCCATTCATTTCACTGAATGACTCAATGTCCCTCTTTTATATGGCAGCATGATAAAAAGGAAGGACTTTTCACTATATCCTTTATAATCACGAACACCTCATACAAGTGCCCTGTAAGGTTTTTGACAGGCTAAATAAACCCTAATTGTTCTCATTTTT